ACTCCATACTGATGGACTTCTGGAATCACTTGATTATGAATCACTTGGTACTTGCGAACCATGCCTCATGGGCAAGATAACTAAAACGCTGTTCTCCGGAACAATGTAGCGAGCAACGGATTTGTTGGAAATCATACATACTAATGATGTGGTCCAATGAATATTGAGGCTCGCGGCGGGTATCATTATTTTCTCACCTTCACAGATGATTTGAGCAGATATGGGTATATCTACTTAATGAAACATAAGTCTGAAACATTTGAAAAGTTCAAAGAATTTCAGAATGAAGTGGAAAATCATCGTAACAAGAAAAGAAAGTTTCTACGATCTGATCATGGAGGAGAATATTTTAGTTACGAGTTTGGTCTACATTTGAAACAATGTGGAATAGTTTTGCAACTCACGTCACCTGGAACACCACAGCGTAATGGTGTGTCCGAACGTCGTAATCGTACTTTACTAGATATGGTGCGATCTATGATGTCTCTTACTGATTTACCGCTATTGTTTTGGGGTTATGCTTTAGAGACGGTTGCATTCACGTTAAATAGGGCACCATCAAAATCCGTTGAAACGACGCCTTATGAACTGTGGTTTGGCAAGAAACCAAAGTTGTCGTTTCTTAAAGTTTGGGGCTGCGATGCTTATGTGAAAAAACTTCAACCTGATAAGCTCGAACCCAAACCGGAGAAATGTGTCTTCATAGGATACCGAAAAGAGACTGTTGGGTACACCTTCTATCACAGATCCGAAGGCAAGACATTTGTTGCTAAGAATGGATCCTTTCTAGAGAAGGAGTTTCTCTCGAAAGAACTGAGTGGGAGGATAGTAGAACTTGATGAGGTAACTGTACCTGCTCCCTTATTGGAGAGTAGTTCATCACAGAAACCGGTTCCTGTGACACCTACACCAATTAGTGAGGAAGCTAATGATGATGATCATGAAAATTCAGATCAAGTTACTACTGAACCTCATAGGTCAACCAGAGTAAGATCCGCACCAGAGTGGTACGGTAATCCTATTCTGGAGGTCATGTTACTTGACCATGACGAGCCTACGAACTATGAGGAAGCGATGATGAGCCCAGATTCTGCAAAATGGCTTGAAGCCATGAAATCTGAGATGTGATCCATGTATGAGAACAAAGTATGGACTTTGGTTGACTTGCCCGATGATCGATAAGCCATCGAGAATAAATGGATCTTCAAGAAGAAGACTGACGTTGGCTGTAACGTTACTGTCTACAAAGCTTGACTTGTCGCGAAAGGTTTTCGACAAGTTCAAGGAGTTGACTACGATGAGACCTTCTGACCCGTAGCGATGCTTAAATCCATCTGAATCATGTTAGCAATTGCCGCATTTATGATTATGAAATTTGGCAAATGGATGTAAATACTGCATTCCTGAATGGTTTCTCGAAGAAGAGTTGTATATGATTCAACCTGAAGGTTTTATCGATCCAAAGGGTACTAACAAAGTGTGCAAGCTCCAGCGATCCATTTATGGACTGGTGCAAGCCTCTTGGAGTTGGAATAAACGTTTTGATAGTGTGATCAAAGCATATGGTTTTATACAGACTTTTGGAGAAGCCTGTATTTACAAGAAAGTGAGTGGGAGCTCTGTAGCATTTCTAATATTATATGTAGATGACACATTGTTGATTGGAAATGATATAGAATTTCTGGATAGCATAAAAGGATACTTGGATAAGAGTTTTTCAATGAAAGACCTCGGTGAAGCTGCTTATATATTGGGCATCAAGATCTATAGAGATAGATCAAGACGCTTAATTGTACTTTCACAAAGCACATAGCTTGATAAAGTTTTGAAGAAGTTCAAAATGGATCAAGCTAAGAAAGGTTTCTTGCATGTGTTACAAGGTGTGAAGTTGAGTAAGACTCAATGCCCGACCACTTCAGAAGATAGAGAGAAAATGAAAAGTGTTCCCTATGATTCAGCCATAGGCTCTATCATGTATGCAATGCTATGTACCAGACCTGATGTGTGCCGAGCTATTAGTTTGGCAGGGAGGTACCAAGGTAATCCAGGGGTGGATCACTGGACAGCAGTCAAGAACATCCTGAAGTACCTAAAGAGGACTAAGGATATGTTTCTCATTTATGGAGGTGACAAAGAGCTCGTCGTAAGTGGTTACGTCGATGCAAGCTTTGACACTGATCCAGATGATTCTAAATCACAAATCGGATACATGTTTATATTGAACGATGGAGCTGTCAGTTGGTGCATTTCTAAACAAAGCGTCGTGGCGGGATCTACGTGTGTAGCGGAGTACATAGCTGCTTCGGAAGCAGCAAATGAAGGAGTCTGGATGAAGGAGTTTATATCCGATCTAGGTGTCATACCTAGTGCATCGGGTCCAATGAAAATCTTTTGTGACAATACTGGTGCAATTGCCTTGGGAAAGGAATCCAGATTTCACAAGAGAATCAGGCACATCAAGAGACGCTTCAATTCCATCAGGGATCAAGTCCAGGTGGGATACATAGAGATTTGCAAGATACATACGGATCTAAATGTTGCAGACCCATTGACTAAGCCTCTCTCATGAGCAAAACATGATCAGCACCAAGGCTCCATGGGTGTTAGAATCATTACTGTGTAATCTAGATTATTGACTCTAGTGCAAGTGGGAGACTCAAGAAAATATGCCCTAGAGGCAATAATAAAGTTATTATTTATTTCCTTATTTCATGATAAATGTTTATTATTCATGCTAGAATTGTATTAAACCGGAAACATAATACATGTGTGAATACATAGACAAACATAGTGTCACTAGTATGCCTCTACTTGACTAGCTCGTTGATCAAAGATGGTTATGTTTCCTAACCATAGGCATGAGTTATCATTTGATAAACGGTATCACATCATTAGAAGAATGATGTGATTGACTTGACCCATTCCGTTAGCTTAGCACTTGATCGTTTTAGTTTACTGCTATTGCTTTCTTCATGACTTATACATGTTCCTATGACTATGAGATTATGCAACTCCCGATTACCAGAGGAACACTTTGTGTGCTACCAAATGTCACAACATAACTGGGTGATTATAAAGGTGCTCTATAGGTGTCTCCGATGGTACTTGTTGAGTTGGCATAGATCAAGATTAAGATTTGTCACTCTGATTGTCGGAGAGGTATCTCTGGGCCCTCTCGGTAATGCACATCACTGTAAGCCTTGCAAGCAATGTGACTAATGAGTTAGTTGCGGGATGTTGCATTATGGAACGAGTAAAGAGACTTGCCAGTAACGAGATTGAACTAGGTATTGAGATACCGACGATCGAATCTCGGGCAAGTAACATACCGATGACAAAGGGAACAACGTATGTTGTTATGCGGTTTGACCGATAAAGATCTTCGTAAAATATGTAGGAACCAATATGAGCATCCAGGTTCCGCTATTGGTTATTGACCGGAGACATGTCTCGGTCATGTATACATAGTTCTCGAACCCGTAGGGTCCGCACGCTTAAAGTTCTGTGACGATCGGTATTATGAGTTTTTGTGTTTTGATGTACCGAAGGTAGTTTGGAGTCCCAGATATGATCACAGACATGCCGAGGAGTCTCGAAATGGTCGAGACGTAAAGATCGAAATATTGGATGACTATGTTCAGACACCGGAAGTGTTTCGGGAGGTTTCGGACATTTACCGGAGTACGGGGGTTTACCGGAACCCCCCGGGAAGTATATTGGGCCTAATGGGCCTTAGTGGGAGAAGAGGAGGGGCGGCCAAGGGCAGCCACGCGCCCCCTCCCCCTCTAGTTCGAATTGGACAAGGAGGGGGGGGGGCCTTTCCTTCTCTTCCTCTCTTCCTTCCTTCTCCTCTCCTACTCCAACTAGGAAAAGATGGAGTCCTATTCCCGGTAGGAGTAGGGCTCCCCCCCCCTTGGCGCGCACTCCTCCTTGGCCGGCCGCCTCCCCCTAGCTCCTTTATATACGGGGGCAGGGGGCACCCCATGGACACACAACAATTGATCTGTTGATCTCTTAGCCGTGTGCGGCGCCCTCCTCCACCATAATCCACCTTGGTTATATCATAGCGGTGCTTAGGCGAAGCCCTGCGTCGGTAGCTTCATCAACATCGTCACCACGTCGTCGTGCTGACGAAACTCTTCCCCGGGCTCTACTGGATCGTGAGTTCGCGGGACGTCACCGAGCTAAACGTGTGCTGAACGCGGAGGTGTCGTACGTTCGGTGCTGAGGATCGGTCGATCGTGAAGACGTACACTACATCAACCGCGTTGTTATAACGCTTCCGCTTAACGGTCTACAAGGGTACGTGGACAACACTCTCCCCTCTCGTTGCTATGCATCACCATGATCTTGCGTGTGCTTAGAATTTTTTTTTTTTGAAATTACTACGTTCCCCAACAGGAGATTATCGGAATGGAGTTTGAGGGCGGAGTGGAGTGGCTAGGGTTTGGCCCGTGATGCAGATGGAGACGAGTAAATATGGGGCTGGGGTGGGCCAGCGTGGGACGGATTCGACGTGGAGGATGGACCGGGCGCGTCCGAGACTCTTCATCCCAAATTTGATTGAGATATGTGAGGTGCCGTTCAACCCGAACATATATGAAGTTTGAGGTGCTCGTTTTGGTCATTTTTTGTGAGTGGACAGACCGGACCATCTGTCCCAAATTCCAAATGTATAGGGTGTTTGAGGAGCTCGGTTTTAGATGCTCTTGGTAGACTTTTGCACCGCTTAAAAATGGTAACCTTTTGCGGTTCTTTCAGTGATGACATGGCGCTCTGGTGACGCCGCTCCATCTCTCCCATTGGTCCAGCCCACCACGATCTACGTGGCAAACCAGGTCCACCTATCAGCAAAATAAGCACGCCACTGACAAGCGGGTCCCGGTACAAAGCGCGCCCACCCGTCATCGATACATCCCGCATATACTGACAGGCGCCGCATCCCGCTCATCCGTATTGATCCGCACCGGCCCATCTCCTCCCCCTCGACGACGGCGCAGATGGCGAGCGACGGCGCGGTGGCCACGCCGGCGAAGGTGACCCCGAAGAAGGCCAACCTCCTCGACCCCCACTCCATCAAACACCTCCTCGACGAGACCGTCGCCGAGGTACTGCAAGATACACACTAAACCCTACCCCCCATCTCCTGTTCGAGATCTATATCCATCTCCCCCATTTGGTTCCTCTAGATTTGGTCACCCATGATTCAGTCCCTTGGTGCGATCAGGTCGTGAAGGGCAAGGGCTATGTGGAGAACACGCGGCTGGGCAACTGGAAGCTCCTGATCGGGACGGCCGTGATAGCCATCGCGCTCCTCGCGCAGTTCTACCCGAAGAAGTTCCCGCAGAACCGCGAGTTCCTTCTCGGTTGCATCGCGCTATATCCTTTGCAGTGATTATTTCTCGTTCTGATGAATTGGTGTTAGATCTGATTTTTTGTTGGGAATTGTTTGGAATTTGTTGTTTGTTACTGTTGGTCCTTGACTTCATGGTGGATACGTATGTGGTGATGAATGTGGTGCTGCTGATCCTTAGCTACACCAAGGAGAAGGATGCCATCATCTTCACCCACCCTCCTGCTGTGAGTTCTACATTCATCTCGATTTTTTGGTCCTGAATTCTAATTGTAGATACCATCATGATTTCTGCGTTTCTAATAAAAATCGAACTAATACATGTCAGCTTGTGTACGACGATTAGGAAGCAGTTTTGAGACCGAGTTAAATGAAAATTATAGTTACATGTGATGTATAATGAATTATGACTCTGTACATTGCAATTTGATAAATATGATCCCCTCCCATCTCCGCTAAAGATGTTGCAGTTTCTGAAGAGCCACACCATTTTTTGTTGCAAATGAAGCCCGTTTTACTCATCCCCCCTCGTCTCAGGGAGCAGTTTCTCCACTTTGTATATTGTATTGCATGCGCTGTAATGCATTCTAAACTGTGCCATTCAATTCTCCCTGATGCATCATGTTAACCTGTTTAGTTGCAGTTTACTGCGATACACTCTGCTGAGTAGTTGCATTGTTTTGTACTTGCTGCCATTTTTTATTGAATGCTCAAGCACTAGTGTATGATGTTACAATTCACAAACTGTATATGTGGTCAATAACAGAAGAAATAAAGACATCATTTGAAATAACTGAAATGGCAAGGTGTTCGACCATTTTGCTTCTTGACTATAATGACAAATGCACCTGGCTGTTCAGTTATTTGTAGTCGCTGAAGCATATATTTCACCAAGTACTTGTGTTGTTCCAGAAAAAGCTTCTTTTGCCAGTGCCTTTCTTATTAAGATGGATGCGGTTTTGTTGCCTTACTCATTGGACTATGAGGCTATGAGCACATTTTATATTAGAATATACCTAATGGTGAACAAATGTTCTTTGTGATTCACGCTCATGTTCATTACATTTGCTGTCATGATTTGAATAGCTTTGTTAACTTATGATTGTAAATACTTTCCACAGGGTTCTTTCAATAACACTGGCCTTGTTATATCTTCAAAGTTACCAAGATTCTCGGACATGTACAATCTTTCAATAGCCAGCGCAGATCCAGAGTCTATCTCTGCTCACAAGCCCGTCCACTTCACTAAGAGTGTTACAAAATGGTATGTTTGCCCTATGTTTATTGGGCTAATATAAGCCATCAATATGCATTATCTTGTTTAAATGATTACATCTGAGCGATACCGAAGGCACCTTCTTTTACTTAGCATTGTTCACACATTTCAAGTTTATGTAGTTCTGACTGTTATTCTAACCTTAAAGCATGCAACCGATTGATGCTTCTACCATGCTATTCAGATTACTTGTATAATCAATTATCAACTCATATCTGCTCCAAATATACTTGGTGTATCTTTCTATGGTTTAATATTACCCTCCGTTCCTAAATATAAGTCTTTCTAGAGATTTCAATGCAGACTACATACGGAGCAATATGAGTGAATCTACACTCTAAAATATGTCTATATACATCCGTATGTAGTCTTTATTGAAATCTCTAAAAAGACTTATATTTAGGAACAGAGGGAGTACACTAGAAAAGCTTACACAGGTGCCCTTAAAAACGTACGAGCTTCATTGCGCGCAATAGAACCTCTGTATGTTTCGATATCAGTCTGCAGATACTAGATGCAAATTGCAATTGAGTTGGCAAAATATACAAGCTTAAGGGTGTGTACATAGTATGTTCAATGTTTGTCTTTGTTGATGTATATGGTGTATAAGGGCATGCTTGTATCATAACATTCTTTTTTTTTATCTCCATTACTAACACTGTTCTTGCCTTATTGGGCAGGTTTACAAAGGAAGGTGTTCTTGTGGAGGGCCTGTTCTGGAAGGATGTTGAGAGACTCATTGATGACTACAACAACGAGCGCAAGAGCAAATGAATTACTGGCCATTGTCATCATTATCAGGATGAAGCTTAGCCTAATCGAAATAGACAATGTTTTTGATAGCAGTACTGTTTGAACTGGTGAATGAAGCACCGTTAAGATAATACATCATTGCAGTCTTTTTTTCTTGGTATACAGGTCTATCTATAATGGTTATATCACCGTGTATCCCAGCGTTTTGACTTGCCTGATCTTGTTCTGCTGTTACACCTTACATCTCACCTCGTTTCCTTTCTATCGTATCCTTCTATGCGAGGCATGTACTCCCTTCCATATTGTACTAAATCAGCGACAAGTAATATGGAACGGAGGGAGTACCAGCCTCCCATCAGATGTAGCCCAGGTTACTGCCACTGTATGTTGAATGTAACTTTTAGGTTGCTATGAATGTGAAATCTAATGAGCAAGATGAGGTTCAGAGCATGAACTCTGAAATGGGGGTTTTATGTGCCAACCACAAGCAGCAAAGAGCACCGTTCATTATGCTCTTAGAAACAAGAATGCTGCAAAACGGTCCAGAGAAACTCAAAAAAATACTCCTTTATGTTGTTAAAATAAAGTTTGCTCATTTCTGTACATCAGATGCAAAGCCTCAAAAGACATGAGTAAACAACCATGGGATTACTGCCTTGCTTCGTGACCATAACAGCATCACTGTCCAGGTGTGCTTCTCATCCTAGGAGGTTGAGCACCGATCTGATTGGGTCACAATAGCCTCAACACGGTCTATGGATGCTTGCAATCGTCCATAGTTCATACTGAAGGCAGGTTCTCCTGTGCCAACAGCCCTGCATAGAGCAAATATAAAAACAAGTTGAATTGTAGTGTCCACAAGTTGAAAACGCCCTGTTAGCAGGCTTTTGATACATAGTGCTATCCTGCTTGCAACGATGTCTCACAAGAATATTTTGGTGTTGACTCAGACATACCCATGAATCTCAGGAAGCACATATTCAGCTTTCCACCCGAGCCTCAGATCAAACCCTGGAAACAGGTTGAGTTTTGATTTGTTTCTTATCTGAGAAACACCATCTCCCCCCAAGCAAGTAGAGAGCTTCCACTTCCATCCAGTTGCCTTCAGTTGGAAATTGTGACCAATGCCGACCTGTATTACCAATGTTATTAGAAATCTCATGTAATCAAAGTGAATGAACTCTAGAAAAAGGGCATATTGCCTCTTAAGCATAGCTTTTACAAATTTGACCATGTGTTGCGGCTACCTAAACTGGTGTACCAGGGATGCTAACCGCGTATATTTGATAGATGCGGATGGGGATTACATGTCATTTGTAATCAAGTAACGGTAAAGCTGACATCCTTGCCAAGGCAAATGGTGTTGAAGTTTTATCCTGATGTATATATACATGTGAAGAAATGCAGCACAGTCTTCCATGTACCATTTTGAATGACCAATTTGCTGCTGTGATTGAAAACTGACAAATAGCAATACTTAATCACCAAAGAATACTGTTAAAACCCCAGAAACGCTTTCAATTTAGCGGCCCAAAATTTGGCATGTGTGGCTAAGCGTCATATTTCGACATGGCTGTTGCAAACTAATGCATACGGCAGTGAAAATGTGTCCTTAAATATCCCAACTGCCCAAGAACATCTCTATATCACAAGAGAGGGCAACATATGCACTTCTAGTTTCTTGTAATAAAGTTGATGTATACCAAGGAGCAATTTCTGAAAAATACTCAGATCAAAGCAGTCACGCATACAAGCGACACTTTCTATAGAAAACAAGTAGGTTTAATAGTGTTGTAACAAAATATTGGTCCTTAACATTCCGTTATCAGAACCGTCACAGAAGTACATAAAAGATAATAGTCTTTTAGCATTCCAAAACTGATATATGAACTGATCCACTTCTATTCTCATTTCTAAATTATGCCTACATTCACATCAAGCAAGCAGATACCTAGTACTCCCTCTGTAAAGAAATATAAGAGCGTTTAGATCACTAAAGTAGTGATCTAAATGCTCTTATATTTGTTTACGGAGGGAGTACATGCATAAACTGGCATCTCTTCCATCAGAAAAACTAATACCAATCATCAAAATGCATAATTAGTACATGGGCAGGCAATTTAACATATCTAATTGCGCCATAACATGTGATATTGCAAGTAGTGCAGACTAGCTGTCAGTTGTCTCACCAGAGAGACGTGCCAAATATGTAATCACTTCTTGGTCTCACATAAACGATACGTGAATAGAAAGATTGAATTAAGCATGGAACCTGGAGGTTGAGATATTTTGTGACTGGTATCTTCTTGGAGAGCAGCTGTATGTCACCACTGATGGGCTTGTACTGGAACTTCCACTTCCGGTCGAAGTCCAGGGGCTTCAGAACTACCTTTGCCTCAAAATCGTTCACCTCTAGGTTGTAGAACTGAAAATGGTATATGGCATTAGACACTCAGATCACAGGTGAACTGGTTACGCACAGCACAGAGAGTACCAACGACCACTATCGCAAATTGGCAACATATAACTCTATAACTAAAATTGGCAAGATTGTGAGCAGGCGTATACTGTCCCAGTGTACACCAGGGGCAAGGAGGCAGCAACACCAGCAGAGTAAATTATTTCCAGTACGCGCATACCACCAACGTTTGGCCTAACGGAATCTTGCGAGATACATTGGACTACTGGAGAGAAATAATTGGGGGACAAATCTACGGGCAGCCCAACACTCGGGAATAAGGGTTTAAGCAGGGTTACCGACCTCGAAGTTGAGGCCGACGCGGAGGCCCTGGAGCTCCTTGCGGAACTTGAAGTGCAGCTCGGCCGGCACGACGTTGATGTGGTACAGCTCGTCCAGCGTCGTCGGTCCATCACCGACGCCCCCGTCCGCCCCTCCGCCGCCGACGCCCGGGCTCGAGGCCATCGGACGCGAGAGAGGAGAAGAGGCCCCTCTTTTCTTCTTCCCAGGTGGATTTTGGGTGGCGGCAGCGAGGCTGGAAAGGCCGAATGAGCGATCGGCCGGCCCACCCCGGCCGCATCTACTAGAGCAGTGCTTTTGCACGTCGCACCCTCGCGTTTCTGTATACAGCGGACGAGGACAAAAAGGTCTTTTTCCCCTTTGCCTTCCCCGTGTGTTAAGAACATCAATAGCCGGATATGTCAAATATGGCCCCTCAAACGCCCGCTCGACGGGCGCGTTCGCGTGCAGTGACCAGACACGCCTCAAATTTCACTTGTTGCATCCAGACATCTCATACTAGATTCTTAAATTCATACAAAAACATGCAAACGAAATAACGTGTGTACTACGTCGATCACCTAACTACTCATCGTCGGAGATGTCGACGATCTCCGTGCCTGGCTCCGACAGGATTGGCGGCAGCTGCAGCTCTGGCTCCTCCTGCTGCTCCGCTCCGGCCTCCTCTGCCTCTATCTCTGCGTCGAGTTCGGCGAATAGCGCGTCGGGCGCCTCCTGCTCCTGCCGGAGGAACGCCCGGTTGGCCTCCACATAGGCCTCATCCTGAATGGACTCCGGGATGGCCTGCTACTATGCTATCTCGTTGGACTTGACGATGGAAAACTCCGCCTCCGTCTGCTCCATGTTGAAGCCCGCCAGCTGCTGCTCTGGTTGCTCCACCTCCTCTGCCTACATCGGAGCCAACTCCTCCTCCTCTTCCCTCGACTGATCCTTTTCCTCCTCCGGCTTCGGCGAGTCCGGAGGCAGCCCGACAGCGATGCGGGCTGCGTGCACGGCTTGTCTTGCCCGGATCACTTGCTGGATCTCGGTGAGGCGCTCCGACGTGAGCATTGCGTAGTAGGTAATCTTCCTTAGGACCATGACGGACCACCGGAGCGTGGGCAGAGCGCCAGAGCGGGAGAGGGAGGAGGTGGATGGGCTCGGACTGGCGGCACAGAGATGGGGAGGTGGATGGAGTAGGGCTGCGGTACTCCAGGTGGGTTAAATAGGCAGATTTGCTCTCGGGCGGTGAGCCAAAGCGACGCCACGCGCCGTTCACACCGCGACGATGGAGGAGGCGTCCGTCGGACTGCCACGTTTCTGGATGAGTCCGCGTGGGACCCCTTCATCGGTCCTACATGGCGGGCGTGCCCGGGCGCCCCCATACAGGTCCCATGTTTGGATTGGATATGAGGGGTGCCGGTCAGCCCGGGCGTTTGAAACCCATTTGAGGGGGCGTCTGGGTCAGAAAAATGTGACCGTGATACGTCTCAATGTATCTATAATTTTTTATTATTTCATGCTGTTATATTATTATTTTTGGATGTTTTACAATCATTTTATATCATTTTTTGGGACTAACCTATTGACATAGTGCCCCGTGCCAGTTGTTGTTTTTTGCTTGTTTTTTACATCGCAGAAAATCAATATCAAACGAAGTCCAACTGCAGCGGAACTTTTTGTGGAATTTTTATGGACCAGAAGACACCCAATGGGCCGGAGAAGCACCGAGGGGGTGCCCTGAGGGGGGCACAACCCAACAGGGCGCGCCTGGACCCCCAGGTGCGCCCAAGTGGGTTATGCCCACCTCGGTGGCCTCCCACACCGCCTCTTTGCTCTATAAATACTCCAATATTCCAGAAACCCTAGGGGAGTCGACAAAAATCAATTCCAGCCACCGCAAGTTCCAAAAACACCAGATCCAATCTAAACACCATCACAGAGGGGTTCATCATCCTCATTGGTGCCTCTCCGATGATGCGTGAGTAGTCTTTTGTAGACCTTCGGGTCTGTAGTTAGTAGCTAGATGGCTTCCTCTCTCTCTCTCTCTCTCTCTCTCTCTCTCTCTCTCTCTCTTTCTTGATTCTCAATACAATGGTCTTTTGGAGATCTATTTGATGTAACTCTTTTTGCAGTGTGTTTGTTGGGATCCGATGAAGTTTGAGTTTATGATCAGATCTACATTTTTATCCATGGAAGTTATTTGAGTATTTTGATCTCTTATATGTATGATTACTTATAGCCTCGTATTTATTCTTCGAATCTTTGGTTTAGTTAGGCCAACTAGATCGATTTTTATTGCCATGGGAAGAGGTGCTTTGTGATGGGTTCGATCTTACGGTGCTTGATCCCAGTGACAGAAGGGGAACCGACACGTATGTATCGTTGCTATTAAGGATAACAAGATGGGGTCTATTTCCACATAAATATATCTTGTCTACATCATGTCATCATTCTTATTGCATTACTCCGTTTCTCCATGAACTTAATACGCTAGATGCATGCTGGATAACAGTCGATGTATGGAGTAATAGTAGTAGATGCAGGCAGGAGTCGGTCTACTAATCTTGGACGTGATGCCTATATAATGATCATTACCTGGATATCGTCATGATTATTTGAAGTTCTATCGATTGCCCAACAGTAATTTGTTTACCCACCATTGCTATCTTTCTCGAGAGAAGCCACTAGTGAAATCTATGGCCATCGGGTCTCTTCTTTATTATATTTTCCTTCGCGATCTATTTTTATTTGCTTTTATTTTCAGATCTATTAATCCAAGAACCCAAAAACACCTTGCTGCAATTTTTCTTTATTTATTTTATCTCGCGTTCCCGCGAGATCTATTTATCCAATCTACTACAATTTTATCTATCTTTTTACCCGTGAGGGATTGGCAATCCCTCTCTTATGTCGGGTTGCAAGTATATGCTCTTTCTATGCAGGAGCTGTTTACGTGGTGTTGCGTGGTTCTCCTACTGGTTCGATAATCTTGGTCTCATCATTGAGGGAAATACCTACCATAGTTGTGCTGCATCATCCCTTCCTCTTGGGGAAATACCGACGTAGTTCAAGCCGCATCAAAAGGAATTTCTGGCACCGTTGCCGGGGAGACATCATCAACATCTACCAGGTTCTTAATCACAAATCTCATTTCCTTGCAATTTAGATTATTTACCATTTGCCTCTCGATTTCCTCTCCCCCACTTCACAAAAAATTGCTATTTTATTCGCCCGCCTTTTCATTCGTCGTTTTCTTGCCAGATCTATCTTTTCGCTTGCAATCATGAGTGATTTCAGTATGGCAGAAACAAATGATGGCCTAACTCCTAAAATTGGACGATATGGCAATCTGGATGCTAAAACTTTTATTTTGGGGCAAGGGAATGTTATAGGAAAAGAACGTATCCAAGATTTTTTTAATTGTGTTGGAAATTTAAGTCTTGATGATGCTCCTATTCTTAATAGGACTAAATCTTATGCGGAAGCTATAACTAAACAACTTGATGACATTAGTAGAGAAGTTTTCAATCTCCAATCAAAGTATGCTTTTGCTGAAAGTTTGCTAGATAAAATATCCGATGCACAAGCTACCCTAGTAAATCAAATGGCCGCTAAGCCAATCTCGTTAGAAGATAAAAGTGATGAAGATCTAAAAATGATTGGTGTTTCCTTTATTGATTCCTTGTTTAGGAAAATTAAGATTGATAATAAAGGGACTGAAGAAGAGTCAACTTTAGCTATAAGGCGTTGTAGTAATTCGGAGGGTGAAAATCTTGTTGATAAAATTGATAAAAGTGGGTTTGAAGAGGTCAAAACTTTAACTAGTGATGTGACCACTCTTTTGGATTACAAAGACTTTAATTATGATAGTTTCTCTTTGATTGATTGTATTTCTTTGTTGCAATCCATGATAAATTCACCCCATGCTTATGAACAAAATAAGGCTTTTACTAAACATATTTTTGATGCTATGATGAAAGCTTTGGAAGAAAAGTTGGAATTAGAGATTTCAATTCCTATAAAATTACATGATGAATGGGAACCTACTATCAAGGTCAATATTAAAAATTATCAGTGTTTTGCTTTATGTGACTTGGGTGCTAGTGTTTCTACAATTCAGAAATCTTATGTGATGTGCTTGGTCTTACCGATATTGAAGAGTGTTCTCAAAATTTGCACTTGGCGGATTCTACTATTAAAAAACCTATGGGAAGAATTATGAAGGAAATATGCCCTAGAGGCAATAATAAAGTTGTTATTTTATATTTCCTTATATCATGATAAATGTTTATTATTCATGCTAGAATTGTATTAACCGAAAACTTGATACATGTGTGGATACATAGACAAAACACCGTGTCCCTAGTAAGCCTCTACTAAACTAGCTCGCTGATCAAAGATGGTTAAGTTTCCTAACCATAGACATGTGTTGTCATTTGATTAATGGGATCACATCATTAGGAGAATGATGTGATGGACAAGACCCATCCGTTAGCTTAGCATAATGATCGTTAAGTTTTATTGCTATTGCTTTCTTCATGACTTATACATATTACTTTGACTATGAGATTATGCGACTCCCGGATACCGGAGGAATACCTTGTGTACTATCAAACGTCACAACGTAACTGGGTGATTATAAAGATGCTCTACATGTATCTCCGAAGGTGTTTGTTGGGTTGGCCTAGATCAAGATTAGGATTTGTCACTCCGAGTATCGGATAGGTATCTCTGGGCCCGCTCGGTAATGCACATTGATGACCCACAACTATAGGGGATCAATTGTAGCTCTTTTCGATAAGTAAGAGTGTCAAACGCAATGAGAAGCAGAAGGAAATGACAAGTGGTTTTCAGCAATGTAATGTCTGCAAGTGCTGAAATTTTAAGTAACAGAGTAGTTTGATAGCAAGATAATTTGTAACGAGCAAGTAACGATAGTAGTAACAAAAGTGGAGCAAGGTATCCCAATCCTTTTGAGGCAAAGGACAGGCCAAAACGGTCTCTTATGATAAACAAAGTGTTCTTGAAGGTACACGGGAATTTCATCTAGCCACTTTCATCATGTTGGCTTAATTCATGTTCGCTACTTTGATAATTTGATATGTGGGTGGACCGGTGCTTAGGTGCTGTTCTTACTTGAACCAACCTCCTACTTATGATTAACCCTCCCGCAAGCATCCGCA